GGGCTGAGGGGAGAAGAGAATAGGGAGTTAACGTTTAAAGGTATGGAACTTCAGTTTGGGATGATGGAAAAGTTCTGGAGATGGATAGTGGTGATGGTTGCATATCAATGTAAATGTACTTAATGCCACTGAATTGTACACTAAAAAAAAGGTTTAAATGGAAAATTTTATGTTATGTATATTTCACCACAATTAAAAAAAAATTATAGGACTCATGTGGCTGGAGCCCCGTGAGCAAGGGAAGAGTGGTAGGGAACATGCAAGAGAGGCACTGAGGGCCCCAAGGGCCAGGGAGGGCCTTCAGGCTTCATTCTAAGACTGATGAGAAGCCCCTGGGGAGCTGGGAGCAGAGGTAACACAATCTGATTTACCATCTAAAGGCTCACTCTGGCTGCTGTGCGAAGAGGCTCAAGTGGGCAAGAACAGAACTAGGAAAAGGATTAGAAGGCCATTGCAGTCACCTAAATAATCCCTGAGATTAATTCAGAATGTCTTCAAGGTTTGCAAGTGGCATTAATCCATGATCTACTCTTCATCTTGGCAGGCTCTAGGGCCCGGCCCTGTCCAGTGTGTGTGCGCACATACACGCACACAGGCACATGTGCATTAGCACATAAGAACCTGGGGCTTACTGCCTGAGATTCTAGGAGGAGATTGGATTCCTGGGGCGTTATCCTCTCCCCCGGAGAACTTCCAGACCAAACCTGGGTCCTCAACTCAAAGCTTTCCTACAAGAAAATGATACCTTGCCCCACCTGTCTCCCTTAGGGCTGGATGGGGAACAAAAACGTCTACCTTTGGGACTTGCTGACTCTCTAAATTCCCATGACATATGTTCTTCTTTGTTTTTATTCTGTTTTGGTTGGTTGTTTTTATTGTAAAACATATATAAAATAAAATATATATTAACATAAAAGTTACCATTTTAACCGTTCTTAAGTGTATAGTTCTATGACATTAAGTACATTAATATTGTGCAACCATTACTGCTGTAAGTCTCCAGGACTTTTTTCATCTTGTAAAGCTGAAACTGTACCATTTAAACACTAACTCCTCATTCCACACTCACTCTCCTGCCCCTGGAAACTACCATTCTACTTTGTCTCTGTGAATCTGACTACTCTTAGGAATCTTGTACAAGAGGAACCATATAATATTTGTCCATTTGTGACTAGCTTATTTCACTCAACATCATACCCTCAAGTTTCATCCATATTGTAGCATGTGTCAGAATCCTTCCTTTTCAAGGATGAATAATATTCCATTGTATGTATATACCACATTTTGTTTAACCATTCATTTGTTGATGGCCACTTTGGCTGCCCCCACCTTTTGGCTATTGTGAGTTATGCCACTATGAACATAGGTGTACAAATACATTTGAGGGACTTCCCTGGTGGTGCAGTGGTTAAGATTTCGCTTGCCAATGCAGGGGACACAGGTTTGATCCCTGGCCCGGGAAGATCCCACATGCCGCAGAGCAACTAAGCCCGTGCGCCACAACTACTGAGCCTGTGCTCCAGAGCCCGTGAACCACAACTACTGAGCCTGCATGCCTAGAGCCCATGCTCCGCAACAAGAGAAGCCACCGCGGTGAGAAGTCCACACACCGCAGCAAACAGTAGCCCCCACTCTCCACAACTAGAGGAAGCCCGCGTGCAGCAACGAAGACCCAACACAGCGTAAAGTAAATAAAATAAATAAAAAACAAATATCTGTTTGAGTCCCTACTTTCATTTCTTTTGGGTATATACCCAGAAGTGAAATTGCTGGATCATATGGTAATTCTATGTTTAATTTTTTGAGGAATTGTCATACTGTTTTCCACAGCAGCTGCACTACAAGCAATGTACAAGGGTTCTAATTTCTCCACATCCTCACCAACACTAGTAACTTTCTGCTTTTGTTTTTCTTTAATAGCCATCCTAACGAGTATGAAGTGGTATCTCACTGTGGTTTTCATTTGCATTTATCTAATGACCAGTGGTATTGAATGCCTTTTCATGTATTTATTGGTCATTTATATATATTCTTTGAAGAAATGTCTATTCAACTCCTTTGCCTATTTTTTTTTTTTTTTTTTTTGCGGTACGCGGGCCTCTCACTGTTGTGGCCTCTCCCGTTGTGGAGCACAGGCTCCGGACGCGCAGGCTCAGCGGCCATGGCTCACGGGCCCAGCTGCTCTGCGGCATGTGGGATCCTCCCGGACCGGGGCACGAACCCGTGTACCCTGCATCGGCAGGCGGACTCTCAACCACTGCGCCACCAGGGAAGCCCCCCTTTGCCTATTTTTTAATTGAGTTATTCGGTTTTTTTGTTGTTGAGTTGTGGTTGTTTTTTTTTTTACAATCGTTTTAACATGAAAAACCATTCTCAGCTCATGGCTCATTAAAAACCAGGTCATGGCCATTTGACCCCTGAAGTCATAGTTTGCCCAACTCCCTCATTTTACATTTGAGGAAAGTCAGGCTCTGAATGAGGCCCCAGATCTCCTGATTCTCAAGCCAAGTTGTTCCAGTGGGCTCTTAGCTGCTACTTCCTTCATTCAACAAATATTTATTGAGAGCCTACTCTGTGCCAGTCACCAGGAAGGGGATGCTACAGAAGTGAATGGACCAGAACTGCTCCTCAGAGCTAAGAGTACAGAGGGGAGTAAGGCATGAGATAAATAATCACACAAATGAATATATACTTGCAAACTGATATAAGTGCTGGAAAGGAGAAGTGGCTGCTATGAAAGTACAATAGGCAAGGCCTCTCTGAGGAAGTGCCATTTAAGCTGAGTTCTGAAAGCCAAGTAAAAGTAACCCAGGTTAACAGAAGGGGAGGAAGAGCGCTCTCGGCAGAGGGAAAAGCATGTAAGAAGGGGTAAGAAATTCTATTGCATGTTTTATTAAAAGTGCAATAGGGTTTTAAAGGAGCACCAAGATTATTCCATTTTCCGTGAGTAGAACAAATTGGAGGAGTGCAACAGAGTGGAATAGAACAGACTGGAAGCAGGGAAATGAGTTGGCAGAGGCCACTCTAATCATTCAGATGGAAGTTGATGGGCATTTGGGCTGCAGCGGTGGTGGTGGAGATGGAGATTAATGAACAGGTTTGGAGATTATTTGAGAAGTGAATTCATTAGGACCTGGTGATGGACTAGATGCAAGAGTGAGAGGATAGGGAGGTATCAAGAGTGATTCCAGAGGACTTCCCTGGTGGTCCAGTGGTAAAAAATCCGCCTTCCGATGCAAGGGACACGGGTCCAACCCCTGGTCAAGGAACTAAGATCCCATATGCCACTGGGCAGAAAAGCCTGCATATCACGACTACTGAGCTCGCGCACCTCAACAAGTTGCAACTACAGAGCCCCGCGCACCACAACTAGAGAGAGAAAACCCGAACACCACAACTAGAGAGAAAGCCCGTGCGCCAGAACTAGAGAGAAAACCCGCACACCACAACTAGAGAGAAAGCCCACGCGCCTCAACGAAAGATCCCACACGCCTCAACGAAGACCTTGTGTGCCACCACAACTCAGAAGACCCAATGCAGCCAAAAAAATAAATTAAATAAATAAATATTTTTAAAAATTCTTTAAAAAAAATCTTCTCACCTATCCCTTATCTCACCTGAGTGAAAACTGAATCCCAACCTCACTGTGCTGCTTAGACCTTGGCCTCTTGCCTAGACAACAGCCCCACCTGACCCCCTAGTGGCAGCTCCTCTACCCACCCCATACTTGTGTCCTTTCTGCACACTGATGTTGAATATTTTCTTTAAAATCTGATTATGTCACTTCTCTGATTAATATATACATCAGTGGCTCTTAATTGCCTTCCTCAGGAGTTCTCAACTTCGAGGTTCCAACACACTGGCTAGATCTGGTGTGAAGTGTCCAAAGTAATTTCTCACTATTAACGAAGTACTAATTAAACAATTTACAAATGTAGAACACTTAGAATAGTGTCCAGCACATAGTAAGTATTATATAGGTGTTAGGCATTATTAATAGTGAAAATTTAAGACTTATGAGATAGTTGTAACAGATGCTTTTGGTGCTGTGTATACATACCCATGGCCCACTTCTGATTTCAGCTGCAGCTGCAGGGAACAGTTCTGTACAGGCTGACAGTATCCCTCCTCAAGGGCCCTATGGGTCTCCCTGCTTTTCTGCCCCAGAGCTTCCTCTTCTCACAAGCTCCGCCGATGAGCAGAGCAGCCTGGAGGTACAGGGGCATCTGCAGGCATTAATTTCCATCTGGTGACTTATCTGCCTCCCCTTCCTACACTGCTACAGCTACCACCATAATCCAGGGGAAAGTAACAGAAATCTTAATTACAGCTTGATCAGTGTCCCACTCCCTGACACATCTATCAACGCCTTCCCGTGAAACTCTAGGTCATCTGCCTTATCCTTCTGATCCTCCGGCTTTTGGCCCATTAGCACATGGTGAGAGGGCAACACCTGAGCATCTGCTGCTTGAAGAGTCAAAGGGCTGGGATGTGAAAAGAATAATAGAGATGGCAGAGTCATAGGTCACACTGCCACGGAGGGTATGAAAAAGGAATGGAAGAGCCTTGAGACCTGGCCTTTCTTCCGCCCTAGGCTCTAAGCAGAGTTAAATCAGCCAACAAGAGAGAGACAATGAAGCTCCCCCAGCCACAGTTTAGATAGAAGCGGAATCGGAGGCTGACACTGCGCAGGCGCAGGTAGTAGGCTACGGTTGTCTCACAGGCTCACCCGCGGCCTCTTCTAGACGAGGGCCACGGGGAGAGCATAGTACAGTTCCCCGCGCTAGGAGCCTCCCTCTCGTGCCCCCTCTTCCTCGTGAGGCCCTCAGACCATTCAGGAAAGGTCTGGGAACCCACATGAGGCCGTCGGGCCGCCCCTCGTTCCCCACTCAGGGCCCGACCGAACGTGGGAAGCTGGTGGTGCCAGCCTCGGGCGAGGCGCCAAGACGGGAAAGCCCGCCAGGTCGCTCGGGATCGGCCCTCCTCGCCCCAGTTCTCACCTCTTTGTCCGTCGCCTTCTCCTCGATACCTAATAACGCGTACAGGTCCATCTGTAAGAGCTCCTTGGTCACCGCCATGGTTCCAACCCTGACTGGATTAGTACTACAACTCCCAAGAGCCTAAGCGTGTGGGGATTCCCGGGGACTATCGACACCAAGCCTGATGAAGGCGCTTAGCCCCCTGGGAAATGTCGTGATCTGAACTAGGCTTGACTGCCTCTGATGGAAGCGGGCACTAGTGAATGAACTACGACTCCCAGCAGCCCTCGCGTCCACCGCTGATGCTCTCGGGCTGAGGTGACTGTAGTGATTCTCCTGTCGGAGGCCTTGGTTGGCCCGCGCGAGTGGGCGTGGAGAGTAACGGAGGGGCGGGGTGAAGGTGCAAAGGGTCCTGGATATGAGCCGCAGGAGCTCGGCTCCGCCGACCTTGCAGCGCCGCGCTGGCAACCACGATGGAGAGTAGGTGCTACGGCTGCGCTGTCAAGTTCACCTTCTTCAAGAAGGAGGCGAGTCTTCTCTCTTCCGGGGGCTAGAGGGCTAGGGAGGACGCGGAGTAGAGGGAAATGCACAGGACTTGCAGTCCGCAGGCTTGTTTTTACGGGCCCTCTCCAGGTGTGTGGTTTTGATGAAGTCACTGAGCCTCAGTTTCCATTTCTATAAAGTGGGGCTAACACTCCCTCGCTTTCGGGGTTGGTGTGAGGGTCCAGTGAGGTGCTGGAGGTGAGAGTTACCCATAAACTGTAAATTGGGCTCCCGTCATTTTTGGAAATCTAGGCTTTTCTGTCTGCCAAGTGTAGGATCCGGCTGTTTCCTTCCCTCCACCCTGCTTCTCCATCACACCATGCCCTTTACTCTCTCTGCCCTGAAACCGTCACCAGCAAGCAGCATGCCCTTCCCCGGTTTCTTGAGTTAGATTACCGCCCTTTTTTCTTGCCCTAGGGCACCATGGCAAAGTCTCACTTGTCCTCAGGCCAGACCTGCCAAGTTTCCCTGGTAAACTGCAGGCTTCCTCAGCCTCAGTTGTGACCAGGAGATAGGAACCAGATAGGATGAGTGAATAGCAGGTAGGGAAGCAGATCCACGTAGCACTCAGAAACCTGGGTTTTGGAGTCAAAGTGGCCAGGATCCAAATTTGAGCCCTGCTGTCATTCATGGGGTGACCTTGGTTTGGGCAAGTCATATAACCTCTCTGACCCCGTTTAAAATAGGAATAATAATGGTGGTCATCAGGAATAAGTAAGATAGTGTGTATAAATTGTGAGGATTAAATCAGGTGATGAAAGTTAAGTACTGAGTTTAGTGCCTGGCACACAGTAAATGCTTAATAAATGGAGGCTGCTACTGTTACCATCCCATCCTGAGTCAAGCCTCCTTTCATCTCTGCCAGAGCAGAGAAGGCATGGGCTCTGCACTGTTTCTCCTTTTTGAAGAGTCAGTGACCTGAAGCATGGGGCTTTGCCTATTTGTCTTTTACACTCCAGTGTCAGGGAATTGAAGACAGAGTAGAAAGCATGGGAATTTTGCATGAAGCTTTCGAGATTTGAATAGAATACTGGAGACTGAGGAATCGCTTTACCCTCCACCCCTGTCTCTCCCCAGTCCTTAGGGGCCCCACTCCTCATCCTCTTCCCAGCAGCTGGTCACAACTCCAGTGTCTGCTCTCTGTGTGTGTTTGGAGAGTCCCAGGGAGGAGCCTGCAGAGGCAGTTGAGAGGTAGACACCTTGCTTCATGTTTCTTGTAGTATGGCTGTAAGAACTGTGGCCGGGCCTTCTGTTCCGGCTGCCTTAGCTTCAGTGCAGCGGTTCCCCGGGCTGGAAACACCCAACAGAAAGTCTGCAAGCAGTGCCATGAGGTTCTGACCAGGTGAGAAGCCAATATGGTCGAGGGTTCAGCCAAGCATGGCAGCAGGCCGATGGCCAGGCCTCACAGCCTTGTGCTCTGTCTAGAGGTCAGCCCAGGAAGTGTTTGGGGTGGGGGACACTGATAGGCAGATGGCAGGTGACTTCTGACACCAGATTTCTTCTCTATAGAGGATCTGCTCCTGCCAATGCCTCCAAGTGGTCACCACCTCAGAACTATAAGAAGTAAGTGCTGAAGGGACAGAGACAAATGGGGATGGGGAAAGGACAAGGGAGCCATAGGGTAGGAGTCTCTTCCCAGCCTACAGATCAAATGAGCACAGCATCAGAAAACTATCTACCTCTCAGGCTCCTGACTGCCCTCTTGGGCTTAGAAAGCAGCTCACCAGTCCTTTCCCCAGAAAAGATTCTTGGTAGACCTCGCCCTCTCATCTGGACTCTCCCATCAGTCAGCTGGGTTGGGCTGCAGGGTGACATGAGCAACCGCCACAGAAAATTGTCTGTTGGAGGCCTCCCTAGCTGCCTAGAAATGATTTGAATGGGAAACAGTGAGTGCCTTCACCCCTCCCTTCTGCATTCTTTAAGAGCCTCTATCTCATATCCTGCCAGGCGTGTGGCAGCCTTGGAAGCCAAGCAGAAGCCCAGCACTCCCCAGAGCCATGGACTGACCCAGCAAGACCAAGTCATTGCTGAGCGCCTAGCACGGCTCCGCCAGGAGAACAAGCCCAGTGAGTGGGGGCAGACAGGGTGGAAAAGACACTATTCAGGGCTTGTGGGACTAGGATTCCTCCGGATGTTACAAGGCTTCTCTATGCCAATTGCAGAGTCAGTGCCCTCGCAGGCGGAGATAGAAGCCAGGCTAGTTGCACTGAGGGATGCACCCCAGGGTTCCATCCCTTCCACCCAGGAGATGGAGGCACGGCTTGCTTCACTGCAGGGCAGAGTTCCACCTTCTCAGACTCCCCAGCTGGTGAGTGCTGTGGCTTTGGAGGGATGGAGGCCCTGGGACGAGGACCCAGTAGAAGCCCAGATACGTGTATGCTTAGATACTTTGCAGGAGTACCTCCTGCTCCTGAGGCCTGCTGCCAGACCAAGGAACCAGGGACAGGCAGCAGGGTTGGGTGGGGCAGGAAAGGGTGGCCCCTTGGGCCTGCTGGGGACTGCCAGACCTACTTGATTACGTGGGCTCTGGAATTGTCCCCTTTCCCTGAGCTTTGGGAACTCCTCAGCATCCACCCCTGACCTAAAACCGTTCTGAGCCTTATGGTGCGGCTTCCTGCCTACGCTGCTCCCCACTGAGGTTCCCTCCTCTGACCAGGCACATCAGCCACCAGACACCAGGACTCAGGCCCAGCAGGCACAGGATCTGCTGACAGAGCTAGCAGCGGAGGTGGCTATTGATGAGAGCTGGGAACGAGGAGGCCCAGGTATCTTCTCCACCTAGCTCCCCCAGGGATCTGCCCCC